AGGAGAAAAAGAAAAAAAGCAGAAAAATGGTACACGTTACACAGAATTTCAGAAAAAAAAATAAACAGTAGGAAATCACTAGTTAATGGATTACATATTGTCACCTTACAAATATTTGTTCAAGTTACAAAATTAAAGCATATAAAGTGGACATCCCAACAGTGAGACTGCAAACAGTTCTGTTCAATGATCCAACAAAACTCAGTAATATCATTGTCTATCGTATACACTTAAATATACATGCAGTTATATCGTTTAGAGAACTTTCTTTTCCTCTCTTTTGTACAATGACTATTACACATTTTGGGTTTTATTACTGCCACAATTCTTGTTACTTTTTGGAAGAGAGTAAAACCAAATGTGACATAACAGAACAGAGTCAGTCAAATCAAAAGGGTGGACATAATAGATAATGTCAAAACATAATACAAGGTGATCAACAGTGGTTACCATAATGCCTCCTGTTATCTCAAATAGAATTGGCTATATCATCAGTTATAATAAAATTGAACAAAACAGTAAAGAACAAAACCAACGCATTGGAGACATTACAGGGTCTTCAAAAGTAGATAATAGTCAACCAGAATGGGCATGATAATGAATCCCACTATCTTCACAGCTGTTGCCTAAACTTTTGAACCTGGTACTATCAAGCAAAACAGAATAGAGGAACATCAGTCAAAACAAGATGGTAAGAGCAATACAGGGCTTCAAATCAAGTTAATGGAAAATCAAAGTGGGTTACTATAATATATCCTGCTATTTTTTTATTTATTTTTCCCTTAATTAAAAGGATAAAAATAAAAAAGTAAATAATAAAATGGAGATTGAGATAAAAGAGGGCATAACAACAAAACAGCGCAGATCAAAACATAATCCTTTAAGCAAAATCGTGTTTCACCACAAGAGAATCCCAACATAAAAGTAGTTACCATATTGTCTCTTTCCTTGAAATCTCTGAGTATAACTTCATATACTGTAGCATCAAATATATCAAAACAATGTAAAACCATTCAAGAGAGTGCAAGTATTACAGGGTATTTAGAATCAGCTAACAGAAAATGAACAATGGTTTCTGTATAATCTCCTTGTCTATAAAAGTTTTTGTTTATATTATCACATATAATAAAACCCAATAAGATACAACATGTTAAGACTTATGGAGACAGAAGAACAAAAGCTTGATGGGACTTCAAAACAAGATGATATTAAATCAGCATTACCTATTATGATTTTGTTTTCTCCAAAATAGCTGTTCCTATCATCCAATCTTCTCTGCCTCATTTCTGTTGAGCTCTTTTTCTGTCATTAGTTGTCACTTTGTCTTCTTCATTTTGTTTTCTGCTCCATTCATTGTGGCCTCTCTGCCAGTATTTCTGGATTCTTCGTATTTTTCTTTTTTAAAATATCCTGCAGTATTCTCTGTAGAGTTGAATTGGTGGTTGCATATTCCCCTGGTTCCTCTTTATCCTGGAAGCAACTTGTTTTTTTTATCAATTTCCAGGGATAGTTGTGCAGGACATATCAATCTTGGCTGGAGGTTATTATCTTTCAAAGCTTGAATTATTTCCCCCCACGCTCTTCGTGATTTGATGGTTTGTGCCGAGAAGTCTGCTGTATTTCTGATGGGTGTTCCCTTGTAAGTGATCTGTTTCTTGTCTCTAATGGCTTTTAGTATTCTGTTCTTATATTGGATTTCTGGAATTTTGATTATTATATCCCTGGGTGTAGCTCTGTTTGGGTTGTAGGTGGCTGGGGTCCTGTATGCTTCATACATCTGAGTATCTTTACCTTTTGCTAAATTAGGAAAATTTTCCTGGATTATTTCTATGAGTAGCTTTTGTAGTTCATTTGTTTGTGTCCCTACCTCTTCTTTTATGTTCTTAATTCTTAAGTTATAGATCCTCTTATCATCTTCTAGTCTTTGTATTATTGCTGTTTGTTTCTTTGTTATTTTTAAGAAGTTTTTCATTTCATGCTCCCATATTACAAATCTGCCCTCCAGTTCAGATAATTTATCCTTAGTTTCTTTTAAGCTGTTATGCCAATTTTCAGTAGAGTTTTTTAGTTTCTTGGTAATCTCTTGAAACTGCTTCACGTATTCTATGTTTTCTCTATTTTCTCCATCAAACAATTCTCCCCTTTTTTTCTGTTCTTCCATTCTACCATCTGTTTTTTCTTGGGTGATGCTTAGCATTTCTCTAACTATTCTGCTTATGTCTTGCTTCAGGTGATTAATAACTTCATTCCTGAACTCATCTATGAGGCTCTGGAGATAGCGCTTTATGTCTATTGGTGCCATGTCTGCTATTGCCTGTTTTTCAGGATTGGGGCCCGAGAAGCCTTTCTTGTTGCTCCCTCTTCCCATATTCTTTGTTCCTTATAAGGGTGTATAGGAGGCCCAGCTTCCTTCCCTGTCGGCCACAGTCTGTTTGAATTGTGCTGTCTAGGTGTTCCCACCCACCGAAGTGCACCAGGGAGTTACAGACCAGGCAGCCTATGCAGAGCCCGCCCCTCCAGGTCAACCTACCAAAGGCTTCACTGCTAGGGTGCACCTCCAGGCACTGGGACCTGGGTTGTGCTAGCCTACTGGGTCTCAGCCAACAGTGTCACGTAGGCTAGACACTGCTCACCAATCCCACTTGAGAGGGGGATATGTGACTGAAGTCACTACAGCGCCCTGTTCTGGCAAGTCTGCCCGGTCCCAGAATGTCCTCTGTTGGAGCCTCCTAGACCGTGGAAGAGTCCCAGTTTCCCTCACTCACCGCAGGTCGATTCACACCTCCCCGCCCATCCTGCTCTCAACTCTGTTCACCGATTCCCGTTCTCAGGGCTTTCGCGGGTCTCTCTCCCTGCCAAGCTGATTCAGACGCAGTGCCAGTGGCAGGAAATCCAAATCGTGGCTTCCAATGGCGCAGGCTCCAGCTTTCACCCTGAGGCTTTATCTGTTCCTGTTATAGCACCAGGATTGCATTCCCAGCAGGTTTCTCTCAGCCCAGTTCATGCATGGGTCATCAGCGTATATCTCCTCTTGCTTAGGATTCCTCATTCCGCATCATTCCTGGATTCTAAGTTGGGTCTCTCAGAGACCTCCGTAGCTGCTACTATCTGTCTAGTATGTTTTCCCGGAAGTCCATTGCGATGCTTGAGGTTGTCCGAGGATCCTTTTCAGCCCTCAGTATGAAGTCACAGAAAGTAGAGGTGTGTTCAGCTCCAGGCTCTCAACACTGAACTCCTATTTTGCTTTTTCCCTACTTAATGCATACATGTAATGGGAAGAATTTGAACTTTGGATACAATGAGACTGTTTTACATTTTGAATCATTCACCAATTAGATTTGTAACTATGACCAATTAATATTATCTCTATACTATAATATTTATCAAATGAAAACTACAGATTACAAAAAGTAACTTGGAAAGAACCTAAAGGGAAAGGGAATTTTTGCTTATTTGTAAATTCTCTGTAGTTTCTTTAGCAAGAACCTACTATATTCTTTCGAGTTCTTCCTCTGCCTAGTTGGGACATGTACCTCTCATCAAGTCTCTTCTAAAACTGCTTTGACTTTACATATTAGTTTATATTGAAGAACTTCATAAGAAAATACTCTGTTGTTATAACATGTGCTGATCAATTATCAAGAATATGTTCAGCAGATTACTTCACTGTCCTCTTGGGGACCCATAAAAGAAACATTCCTCTGGTTTCCTTTCCAAAAATATATTCACCCTAAACAACTGAGAGGGTTTTTATCTTACTGTGTGAGTTAATCATAACCATAAATTGACCAAATTGAGTCGTGAATAGGTGACTGGATCATGGAGGTGCAGCATTCAACAGGGAATTAAACCACTGATAGTGATACGTGAAATATGTTGCTGAGAGGCAGTGCAGTTAGAGGAGAGAGGTTCCTGGAAGGGAGTATCCCTGTCTTTGAAGAGTGTACCTCTGGATGGCCCATTTCCTATGCCTCCTAGCACCCATTAAGTGAGCTTTTTTGCTCCATCACATCCTTCCACCATGATGTTTCTGCCATGGAGTCACCAAAGATGGACCTCTGATTGGGCCAGCACCAGTTGGCACCATGACTATAGATTATAGTTCAATTTAGGCACTCAGAATCAAATTAATGTCTATCTTTAGCAAATATGTGTAAATTTCTGGAACATTCTCTGAGTAATAACTTCCAAGCCTTAAGATTCATCTATTAAACACAACCTGTATACTACATATGTTATTTTCCAATTATACAACCAAAAAATTAAATAAGTAAATATCTTCTAAAAACTGTATAATTTATTTAGGGGGTTATTTGATTATAGTGATTGAAGTGATATAGTGATTATAGTGATTATAGTGATTGAAAAATAAGCTAAATGTTTAAATTTTTTTGCAGTATAGATACATTATCATTAATCTTGCTGAAATTAGGTACACTCGTTCTGAATACATTATTGCTGCCAGTACTGCTTTATAAATCAGCTCTGAAGTCCTCTTTTTGAGTATCTCTTAATGGCTGCCTTGATAGAATCAATTCAAAAATTTCTGGCAATTTCTGTGAAATAAAAACTTTGTTCTGTGTCCTCATCTAGGCTATTCTCTGGATCTGGCCGACTTCTGACTCTTCCCTATAGTCAAAGTAACCATGTAAAGGGAACGTTCTTAACCAGTCCAGCACAGTCAGGCAGCCATGACAGCACAACTAACACTTAGGAAAAAGGACTGCTTCAGAAAGTATTAAGAACAAGGGGTGTGTTCAAAGTTAGGACGAGTATTTCAAGGGCAGCTAATGACACAGTGTCTTTTACTATAATAAATATTTATATTTTAACACACATTGTATTTTTCTATCATACTTCAAATATATACATAAAGTTATATGTTTTAATAGAAGGTATGTATATAAATAGTTTCCCATACTCCACTACAAGATAATACTATATGTGTTTGTGTAATACGATGAGTGAAATTGAAATGAAAAAACTCATTTTAATCTTTTTTTAATATGGAATGCTTCACGAATTTGCATATTATCTTTGTGCAGGGGCCATGCTAATCTTCTCTGTACTATTCCAATTTTAGTATATGTGCTGCCAAAGCAAGCACTCATTTTAATCTTATGTGTATTTTTCTCTTTAATCCTAAATTTGCTATTGCACAAGTAGGAGTTAATGAAACCACTTTTTAGTTGTGGAAGCGCAATCACCTTGATAATTAATTTAAATAATTGTTACATTCATGATTATTAATTATTCACAGGGCTGTTCTCTTTGCAAACTGTGTTTATTAATTTCAGATATTAATTCTTCCCTGCACAGATATTCACCCTAGACATTGTTAAATCTAAACAAACCAAATCAGTTTAATTTGCTCATGTACATGTGCTGGAAGAAGATCAATTTCATCTATCAATTTCCAAACAACATCTAGACAGAATTTTCATACTGCTCAGTCCAAACAAACCTTCATACAATAACTTGAAAATCACTGTTTCATAAAAGCAACCAACACCTTAATCCTGGAGAGTGAAAAAAGTTCAGTCTTAATTTATTATGAATTCATACATTTGCTAGACAGGTGCAGGCAGGACCACATGTATGAGAGTTTATTTGGAGAATGCATTTGGAAATTACCTGGACTAGTAGAAATATATAAATTTTGACCACCTAATTTTTTTCAACTAAATATTAGCAAGTGTAACCGAAAGTAGAATGTTGATTCACTGAGCTTGTAAAACTACTGTGAAATGCAGCATTGCCTACTGCAGGACTTGTGAAGGCATCAAGGAATTTTGTGCGTGAAAGACAATGAGGTAATCTATACGCCTCTGGTTTTCAGAGTAATAGGATTTGCTATTTTAGTGCAGAAGAAAACCTCTGGGCCTTTTGGTATTTGGCTGAACTTTAAACACTAAATCTATCCTGCAATGCTGAGCCAGTCTGTTCAGTCTGCATTCTCAAAGCCATGTCTACACTGAAACAGGAAAAAATAAATTCTGTGATTAAGAAATTGTGAAAGACAGTTACTGTCCTCCTCTGCCACGTGTAGTAATGTTAAATTCATAATTCTGAACTAGCAATTTATCTTATTAGGCACAGATTATCTTAAAATTTGCAATATTTGTGAAAAGTTCTGCTAAACACATTATTTTAGTAGCTGCACCAAGATAAGTAAATTAGTTCAGAATGAAGCTATTTTCAATATTTCCAAACTATGTACTTTTATATTCAAGGTGCTAAATTCACAACCATTCATCAGATAGACCCAAAGACTTAGTGCTTTTTCCTTTAAGTATGATGTTCATGCATAGACAACTATAAAATCACCACTGGGAAATATTTTAATATTGAGATTCCTCTGTAGGTGTCAGTAGCAAAGTGAAATTCTTTAAAACATGATCTAATCAATTTAAAACACTGAAATAATGAGCTAGTAAATGATTGTTAGAGGAATTAACAAAACTGTAGTTAAACCAATGAATTTCTTACCTGTATAGACTAATACAATACTTCTGAAAATACTAGGCTACCTTATAGGAAAGATTTTTCAAGATCTTCTACAGTAATTTCAACATTAAAATTTTTTCTAAAGCAATAACTCAACAAAAGCAAGAATACATGTTCCTCAAAATATTCAGTGCAGGGGCTGGGGATTTAGCTCAGCAGCATAAGTGCCTGCTTTGCAAGCAGGCAGTCATGAGTTCGATCCCTGGTACCGATAAAAATGAAACAAACAAAAAAAATATTCAGTGCAGAATTATCCATAGTAAATGTTCAACAATCAGAAAAAAACTTGCTGAATTATGATACATTAACACAATGGAATATTACATCACTATGAAAAATGATCATTATGGAAACTAATCAGAGACAATCATTTGTAGTACAATTTCAAGTGGCAAAAATGAAACCTTATAATTTATACTTGACCCAAACTTTTAAGAACCTATTTTCAAATAGCTACATGAAGGTAATAAGCAAAAATGAAAATACTTGCTACATCAGTACAGCAATAATCATAGAAATTGCTTTTCATTTTTCTTTGCATTTAACTAGTAATAGAAATGGTAGACATGACCACCAAAAAAAACAACAATTTATCCAAGGAAAATGACACATCAGTCAGAAAAAGTGAAACCACTTTTAAATTTTTAAAATAAACTTTATTTTAGGAACACCTATAGATTCACAGCAAAGTTGAGCAGAATGTTTACCATGTACCATCTGGCCCCACACATGCACATCTGCTTCATTGAAGCGATGATTTGTCACAACTGACTAATTATAGTAACACGTCATATCATCTAAAGCCCAGTTCACATTAGGAACCACTTGGTGTTACAATGCTCTATCCATTTGGACGTATGAGTAGTGATGTGTTTCTTCTATTATAATATATGCAGAATTTTTGCATGATACTTTAAATTCTTTTGCTCTGCCTATTTATCCCTCCTGCTTTTACTGATCAGGCCTGGTAATGACTGACTTTTTTCTAACTTTTTACTAGTTTATTATAAAGAGTATAAACCAGGTATAGTCAATGGAAGAGATGTATTAAATATTTTTAAAATTACTCTTCTTAGTGTATTTACTTTTATTTTAATTTCAAGGCATTATATATTTCAGATAATATCCTTTATGTTTTGTAGATTAATATCATAAAGAATATATTGCCATGATTGTCTGGCAAAGTGGTCCCATGCAGAAAACAGGCAAACATCAGTTCTAATCTACCTTAGCCAATGTACCTGTAGGCTCATAGAGTCAAGGATATTCAGTTAATGATCGCCGGCTCCAAGGCAGAAATATCATAGTGGAAGAGTGTGGTGGAGCAAAGTTGCTTAGTTCATGGCAACCAGGAAGCTTGGAAGAGGGGAATAGTGTCAGAGAGGACAAACATAAACTCTAAAGACATGCCTTCATGACGCACCCAGACACACAGAGGGGTGTACCACCAAATCCCAGGAGGGATACCAAAGTGAATCACATGGACACTCCACCTGAACCACTATGCAATCTAATTTGAGTGGCTGATGAATTTTCATAACCAATTTGATGTAGAAATTAATCTGTTATATTTATATCTGTATGAATTCAATAATTAGTGAACATACGAACCTATGCATTTCAAAAAAAGCTATAGTCTGCTGAGAAAACCTTACAGGATACATTGTTAACAAATCATACATAAGCACTGCTTTCCACATCTTTTCCAGATTTCATGCCTACCAAGGGAAAAACTCCAACAGGCTTTGGACCCCTTTGGCTTAAAACTTATACACCTAACCATACATTTCTGAAATCTCATCCCAATAATTTCACGTGGTTGAAAAATCTGTATTGGTTCACATCTGCTTTCTAATATTATGATTTTAACTATGATTTCTTAAGAAACCACTAATACTGTATTACTGCACTGTCCAAATGTTATTTAATAATGAATAATGGATGACAGTAAGTTATCCTCACTACAGATAGCTATTTTTTGCAAGGATACTGTAAAGATGAGAGGAAAAGTCCATTACTAATCTCTGTTTCACAGGGCTAAGTACAAATGGCAATAGCAGTTGGGCATAATCTACTGCATTACCTATCAAAGCTTTATTATGCATAAATAAGGAATTTGAATAAAACTGTGCTTCTTTGCAATTGACATTAAATCAAAACTTTTAAAAATCCATTCAGTAAACTGTACTGAGACTCACTACTGTGCTAAATATGGGTGATAAAATACTGACTGATACAAGGTGCTACCATAAAGCTGCAAGATACAGAATATTCAGAACACACATTAAAAGTGGGATAGACTTTTTAAAAACTTTTAAAAGTGAAATCCTATACCACATTATATTTCAAGAAAGATGGTACAACAATTTCAGAAAAACATCATGATAATTTTCCACAAGTAAAAACCTAACCTTGCGAAAAAGACTGCAGTACAGGGTAGTTCAAAGATGGAGTACATGCTTATATACAGTGACCTGAGTTCAATTCCCAGCATTTACATACATATGTATATAGATGCATAGAAATAAACTTACTAAAAGGATATCTTCAGGAAGAAGGCAAATGATATCCTGGAGACCACTTGAAATTCACTAAGATAGATTTCAAATTGTCCAAAGTTATTTGTATAAACACAAATAAAAATACTAAATGATATTAGAATTTCAAAAATCAGACATTCAAGTTAGTGTGCTATGCCCCAGGAAATATTGTAAGCTGCTTTAACTAAAGTTATGGTTTATGCCTGGATATCCCCCCAAAGCCCCATGCAGTCACAGGAGCAGGCTTCTAGAATCTGTGATTGACTCATGTTCCAATGCTGGGATTATGGGTGTGAGCGATGTACCCATCCTATGATGGATGCGGCCCACATACAGAAAGATTTGCCTCTCACTCTCCTCCCTTTTGCTCTTGTCGCTTTTGCTGTCTTCTATCACCATGGCTCATTGTTTCTCTGCCACATGACACTGCCTTGGAGTCAAATGATTATGAACTAAAACCTGTACAAATTAAGAGCTACATAAACCTTTGCTTCTTTAATTCTGGGCACTGGAGAAAAAGTAACCAACACAGCTACAAATTGCTCTGCCATTCTTAAAATAGGAAAAATGAAACATTAAAAATGTACAAATTTCAGAGCACATAAGAGGGAAGAGAAATAGGAACAGAGCTAGGAGAAACACGAAGTATATAGTATGTTCAAATAGTTAGTAAATTTAAAACTAAGTATATCAATAACTGGCTAAGGACCAAATGGAAGAAGTGCTCAAGTTGAAATGTGACCACTGTCATACTAAGTTAAAGAAAGATGAGCTATGTTACATCTACAGGTGATATACTGGGTTTACCACACAAGTTAAAAAAGTTGAAAGAAGAAAGAATAGAAAAAACAAAGCACACAAATAACTGAAAAAACAGATGAAGTCATGTAAATATTCAAAAAAAATAATGTAAGTTAAACCACTACTATAGATAAAAATGATCATTAATGGACTGAAAATGTATCTCAGTGGTAGAGTGATTGGCTGGCATACATAAGACCCCGAGTTCAATCCCCAGTACCAGCAAAAATTTTAAAAAATCACTAATAATGAGAGAAGT